TTATAAAATATATAATAAAATAATAATATTTTTAATAAGAAATATATACATATATATCTTTATATATTATTATATAAATAAATAATATACAAACTCAATTTCAATAAAATAAATATATCAATAATATAATATATTAATTATGTCAGACAGTATTATTTATAAATTAAGAGATTATATTGCTGGTTTAGCAACAGGTTTTAAATTTATAAAATAAAAAAAAAAATTATAATTTATGTTTAATACAATATAAAAAAGGATTAACGTAAATATTAATAGGACACCCTTTTGATACAATAAAAGTTCGTTAATAATCTTCTGTAAAAAATCTAACAATAAAACAAGTATTATTTGATTTATTAAAAAACGAAGGAACATTAGCAATATATAATGGTAAAAAATATATATATATATGTATATATATATATATATATATATTTATATATATCTATATATTATTTTTATATATTAATTTAACATTTTTTGTCTATTATTTTAATAATTTGCTTATAATAATTTATAAATGAATATATATTATTTAATTTATACAATTATATAAATATTTTTTTATCTAATTTTTTTTATATAATTATATTATTAAAGGAGTTGCTTCTCCTTTAATATGTACTAGCTTTTTAATTTCTATATAATTTGGTGTTTTTTAAAATTCTTTAAAAGCTTTATAAGTAATAATTGAATTTATAGACATATATAAAATTTAAATAAAAAGGATATATAAAATAGAAAAGAACTTCCAATATATTAAATAGCTCTTTGCGGTTCAATTAGCGGTGCTGCATGTAGTCCTATAATGGCTCCAATGGAAAACATAAGAATTAAAATGCAAGTAAATAGAAATCCATATTAATATACAAACACTTTAGATTGTTTTAAAAGAACTTTTCAATAGTATGGAATTAGAGGTATATATAAAGGTTTTAATAGTACTTTAATAAGAGAATTACCAGGAGAATGTTAATATATATATATATATAAATATATATAAATATATATATATTTATTTATATATTTATATTATTTGCTATTAATAAAAGGTATTTATTTTTTAATTTATGAAATGTAAATGAGAAAATTAAGATAAAGTTTATAATAACAGCCACTTTTATTATAATATTCACCTCTTTTAGCTGGAGCAGTTTCAGGTTTGATTTTTTGGATTTCTGTTTTTCCTATTGATACTCTAAAATCTAGAATTTAAAGCGATGATATGTAAAATCCGTTATTTAAAAACTTTTTGGATTGTTTTAAAAAAACTGTAAATAAAGAAGGCTTTGGGGCACTCTTTAAAGGAATTAATGTGTGTATAATTAGATCTTTGCCTGCTAATGGATTCGGATTTTTGGCTTTTGAGGAGACAAAAAAATTAATAGAAATTTCTTACAGTTAAGCAATTAAAATACATTGATTTAATTTTTATTTTTTATAAAAATATTTTTTATTTTTTATATTTTTAATTTATTAAAAATATATTAAATTAATTATTATTAAAGAATGTTATTATAAAATAAATCTTTTTATATAATCATTATTCATATTTAATTTATATATACAATTATTGTAATTATTTTTTTTATATATTTATTGTAAAACTTTATTTATAATAATAAAATAAATATTAATATATGTAAATGCATAATTATAATTATATATTTAATAGTTTTTTTTAAAAAATAATATTAAAAATATATATAATAAAGATTAAATATTATAAAATAAAAATAAATAATAATATATAAATATATATATATATATATATTTATTTATTTTATATTATTGAAATTAATGGAATAAATATTCATTTATATTTATATTTATTTTTATATAATTATTTTAAGATTTACAATATTAAAATATAAAATATAAAATATAAAAGAATCCAAAAATACTAATTATCATATTAAATCTATAAAAAGATAAAATAATAATAAAAAAAAATAAAAAAAAAATACTAATTTAATAAATAAAAATAATAATAATAATGAGACATTTACTTACAGAAACCGAAGTAGTTATACCCGAAGCAGTAACCGTAGGCGTTTAATCTAGAGTAGTTACAGTTAAGGGTCCTTTGGGATCATTAAAAAGAGCTTTCAAACATGCTTCAATAAGCATTTTGAAGCCAAAAGACAATAAATTAAAACTCTAAATATGGTAAGCATAAAGAAAATAAAGAGCATGTTTAACTGCTATAGCCTCTTAAATAAAAAACATGATAAGAGGAGTAACTGAAGGTTATAAATTTAAAATGAAATTAGCTTATGCACATTTCCCTATTTAAGATTTTGTATCTAAAGACGGAAAATCTATAGAAATTAAACACTTTTTAGGAGAAAAAAGAGTCAGAAGAATCGACGCTTTGGAAGGTGTTTAAATTATTAAAAAAGAAGAAAGAAAAAAGTAAAATTTTATTAATAAAAACATAAATATAATATAAATATATATATATATATATATATATTATATATATATATATATATATTTAACTTTTACTGGTATTGATTTAAATAATGTTTCTTAAACTTGTGCATTAATTCATTAATCTTGCCTTGTTAAAAATAAAGATATTCGTTAATTTTTGGACGGTATTTATGTATCAGATAAAAGAATGGCTTTAAATGATTGAAAAATGATAATATTTTAAATATAAAAAATAATATTAAAGCAAATTTAATCTTAAAAATATTGTTATAAAAAAAAAAAAATAGTGAATAAAAATTTAAAATAAAATACATTTTTTATTTATATAGTTGTATTAAATTTTATTTTTATTTAAATTTTATTATTTTTGTTTTTAAAAATAATTTTTTTTATTGAAAAATAAATATATACATATATATATATATATATATATATATATATATATATATATATATATATATATATATATATATTTATTTTCTAAAAAATAAAATTTTATCAATTTTATATATTATTAATATTATTATTTCCTAATACTTCTTAAGTTCTCTACAAAGCTTAATTTATTCTCCTATTAATTTCATCCATATCATAATTAAGATTATTTCTTTCTATATTGTCCTATTGTTAGAATCCATATTCTTTTTATTCTTATTCTTATATATAGTTATTATTTAAACTTCCTTATTATTATTATTAAATAAATTAATTTTAATATAATTCTTATTAATTTGTCATATCTTCATTTTATTAATAATTTTTGTATTTTTAATATTATAATCTTAATAAAATGATTATCTAAATTATTATTATTAAGGAATTGCCTAAACTCCTTTTTATTATAAATGAACTCTCGTATCTACTTCTGCAATTGGTATTTATTATTATTATTATTAAATTATATTCATGTTTTGTTGTTATAAAATATATCCTCCCTATGAATATTAATTAGGTTATTATTATTATATTTAAGATGCTTAATTAGGTAAATATTAAGCTGGCAAAGATTATACTATATATTAAGTATTATCGGAATACACTAATTAAGGTTAAGGTTAGACTTATACAGGTTATTAAGATATTTACTATACTTAAATAGGTTGTTAAGGCGTTTATTAATAATTCATAATTTATTATTCATCTATATAATATTCGTTTCCTACTTTAGAATATTCACCAGGTCCTTATTAAATTAAATATTCATATTATGGAGCATTTACATTTTATATACAGAATTCTTATTATTATTATTATTATTATTATTATTATTATTATTATTATTATTATTATTATTAATATTAATATGGTATTTAAACTACTTAAGATTAATGTAATTATTATAACATAGAATTCTACTATTAATTTTATTATAATTATTATTATTATAATTATAATTAATTTTATTAAGCATCATAACTATGTTATTAAATATAAATTTTAGAATTATTATTGTCTTTTATCTATCCATTCATAATTAGTGACTATTTCACCATATTATAATCTGGATTGAAAGGCTATAGAGATAAAATCAATTACTCAAATGGAAATAGAATTGAAAAAATAGCGCGTATAGAAGGCCTTTCTTATACATTATCAGTCATCATTACATTTATTATATTATTAAAGAACCTAGAATATTAAGTCCTTGAAAATTCCAGTAATTATTAAACTATATTCGCATTTATTCTATTGCTTTAATAATCATAACATACTGATTGAGTTTGTAAAGTCGCACAATATAACATTGTCATTGCTATTTGAAAACAATCTGATTTACTTTAATCTATATTATTACTGAAATTTTTTTCTTATGCTTTTTAAAGTTATTCAGGAGAAAGTAAACATTATTCATTTAAATTGATTTATTTTTAATATCCTGTAAGATCTTCTGGAAAAGCCCTAGTACATATATAAATATATTATATATAAATAATATATATATATATATTATATATATATATATATATATTTATATATATATATATTTATAAAATTAACCCATATGCAAGTATTTTAACTTCTCCGAGAGGTGTAAAATATATATTTTAAGGTCTTATGTCATGTAAATAATTATTTGTATATTATAAGTAATTTCCTGCATTTACTAAAGAATACATAATTGCCCAGAGTTCGGATTCTAAATAATATAAAGAAACTTATTATCTTCTTATAAGTTCTTCTTATAAAGTGTTTATATAATACTCGTGATAAGTTTCAATATCATTGACTGAGCCACAAATAAATGCAGAGTCATCGTGGGTTTAATATGAGTATAACTTTAGGAGAAAAGGAGAGTCATAATGGAGATTTTGCTTCAATTTTGTATCTAAATATTGCTAAATCTCCTCTTTATTATATGAAAATGTCTTCTTTTAGGCAATATACATGCCTTCTTAGAGTGTTGATTGGTAGATTTTTACTCGGCCGAAACGATTGTCTAGGTGATCTTGGACAAAAACGAATTATTTTTGGAAGTTTTTAAGAAAGTTTTCGTTAGTTTCTTGAATTTTGGAGTTTGATTCACCCATTTTTTTTTATTATTATATTTTAAATATAATGTATATTTTTATTTATAAAAAATAATATTTAAAAATACATATATTTTTAAAATTTATTTTATTTTAAATACAAAATATATTTTTATTTTTATTTTTTTTTTTAAAAAAAATAAAAATTTAATTTTTAAATTAAATTTTTTGTTTCTATAAAAAAATAATTTTTAATAATAATAATTTTATACTTATTTTATATATATTTTTATATATATATGATTATCATTTTCATTTTTTTTTTTTCGTTTCGTTAAAAAAAATATAAATATTAAAAATGTTATAAACAAAAAATAATAAAAATACAAATTTATAATAATAAGAAGAAGAGAATGAAGAAGAAGATATAGATTAAGATTCACCTCCACCTCCATTATTAGAAGGAAATAAAATATAGTAAATAAATTCAATTGATATCATTAATTAATATTATAAAACATAAAATTCAGAATCATATAAGAGCTTTAAATAATAATAATCTTTTTATTAATAAAATTTAATAAATCTAATTACTTAGAAAAATAATTAAAATGAAAATAAAGTTCTATAAGGTGAAAATATAATAAAGAATAAGATAAATATATAAGAATAATCACCATCTTCATTAAAATCTAATTAAAAATCAAAGAATTCTTCCAAAAAAAAGAATGCATTCAAATTTCAAATTATTCATAATATAATTCATGCTAAGATACAATATAAAGTGTTGAAAATAAATAAAAATTAGAAAAAAAAATATAAGAAAAAACACAAAAAAATTAAATATAAATAATAAATATAAACGAATATGAAGAAAAAGATGAAGAAATAGAAAATTATGTAAAAAAATTAAACATAAATATAGAATAATTAAATAATTTTAACTTGAGGAATTCTTAAATTTAAAGCGAATTTTTTTAATTGAAAATAGAAATAAAAAATTTAAAAGAAAAAATAAAAAAAAAAGAATTAAAATAAAATTCAGATTAAAAAAATTAAAAAAAAAAATTGTATTTATAAAATCTTTTAGATGTTAAAAAATAAATGAAAAAATATATATAAGATAATATAAATTTAAAAGATTAATTATAATAATAGACTTAAATATCTAAAAAAATGGCAGTCTCATTATTAAATTTTCATTAAAAATTATAAAAAGAAATTAATTAATTACAAAATATTACACATTAAGATAATTAATAAACTAATTTAGTATAAGAAAATTAACATTTGAAAGAAAATTTATAATAAGAAGTAAATTAAAATGAAAGCCTTTAAAAACAAATTTTAGAATATGAAAATAAATATTAATAATTATATATGGAAACTGAGGAAATAAAAAAAGTTCTTGTTAAATAAATTGGTTTTTTTATATAAAAATAAAAAGAAATTAATTCCAAATAAAAGAAATGAAAATTATAACTTTTAAAAAATTTCTAAAAAAAATAATTAATGAATAATGAATATTGTTTTTTTTATTTTAATTGAAAAACTAATTAACTATATTTTTCTTTTTAAAATATATGTATATAAATATATTTATAGATATAATATAAAAATAATTTTATAAATAATTAAATGTAAATATATATATATATATATATATTTATAAATAAATATTAAAATATATGTTTCTATATATTTTTATAAATACATATTAAAATATATGTTTCTATATTATATATACATTTTTTTTATATATATATTTGTATATTTTTTTTTTTTATTATATATTTTTAATTATTTTTTTTTAATATATTTATATTTTTTATATAATTTTTTTTTATTTATAAATTTTTATAAGAAAAATAATTAATATTTTATAAATAAAAATAAAACTAACTAACTAACTAAATTACTATTTTTTTTGAAAATTAAATAAAAACTAATATTAATGATTAAAAAAATTTCAAATTTAAACTTCACTCTCAAGTAAATTCCTTTTTTTAATTTCTCAGTTTAAGTAAACTTTATAAAATCATATTTAATATATATAAATATATAAAAAATAAGAATTAAAAAGCTGTTTTATTTCCTGGACATGGAATAGGTCCTGAAATTTCTTAATCAGTTTGTGATATTTTTAGTGCTATAAAAGTTCCTATTGAATGGGAAACACATGAAATTTATACAAAACCTATTAATGAATAAGGAGATTTGATAAAAGAAGAATCTCTATAAGCTTGTTTAAATTACAAATTTGGTTTAAAAGGTACTTAAATTAAAAATTTTGTGATTGACAAAAAATAAAAAAAAAGGTCCTTTTGAAACACCTATTGGTAAAGGTTATAGATCTCTTAATATTACAATGAGAAAAAAATTAAATTTATTTGCAAATGTAAGACCTTGTAGAAGTTTAGAAGGTGTCAATACACCTTATAAAGGGGTAAATTTAGTTACTATTAGAGAAAATACTGAAGGAGAATATTCGGGTTTAGAACATGAAGTAATATAATATTTTTTTTCTTCTATTTTTTACTGTTTTATTAGGTTGTTCCAGGAGTTGTTGAAAATCTAAAAATCATATCAAAACCAGCATGCTAAAATATTGCTCGTTATGCATTTGAGTTTGCTAAAAAAAATAGTATTTATTATATTTATATTTTGTAATAAAAAAAATAAAATAAAAAAATAGATAGAAAAAGTGTAGTAGCTTGTCACAAAGCTGGAGTAATGAAAAAAGGAGATGGCTTATTTATCTAAACATGCAATGAAATTTCAAAAGAATATCCTGAATTAAATTACAGAGAAGAATAAATCGATACTATATGTATGAAATTAGCTAAAAGCCCTGAAAACTATGACGTAATGGTTATGCCTAATTTATATGGCGATATAGTCTCTGATTTATGTGCTGGATTAATAGGAGGATTAGGATTAACGGCTTCTGGAAACATCTCACACGAATGTGCTGTTTATGAAGCTGTACATGGTACTGCTCCTGATATTGCAGGTAAGAACTTAGCTAATCCTACTGCACTTATTCTTTCCTCTGTTATGGTATATATTTTATTTTAAAAAATAATATTTTATTTTAAAAAATAATATTTTTTAGATGTTATAAGCTATGGGATTCAGAAAAGAAGGAGATGCTATATAAAATGCTGTTATTAATACTTTGTAATAAGGAAAATATAGAACAGGTGATTTGGGTGGAAAGACAACTTGTTCTGAGTATACTAAAGCTTTAATAGGAAATATTCAACTTTGAAAAAAATATAAAAATGCATGTTTTTGTGTTTCTTTATATTTTATTTTTTACTTCCTTTCTTTTTTTTTTCATTTATGAAAAATTAAATATATTTTAATTTGATGATATTATAAAAATAATATTTATTTAATAAAAATTAAGTGTAAACTTAAGTATATTTTTTTAATAATTCTTATAATTAAAAAAAATAAATTTAATTTTCTTTTAATTTCAATATATATAATTTAGAAATTTTATTTTAATAAAAATATTTATATTATATTATATATTATATTATATTATATTATATTATATTATATTATATTATAATATATTATATTACATTATTTATTAAATATATTTAAAAACTTAATAAATTTTTGTATATATATTATTAAAGCAATATATATTAGTAATAAAATATTATGTTATCTTTTTTTTATTTTCTTAACCATTAAATATAAATTATAATTACATTTTGATAAAATCAATAATTTTCGTTAATATTTTTCCTTTAAATTTAACAAGGCTCATATTTTAACCAATTTTTTTAATATTTATACCTTTTATATAAAATATTAATGTTTTTGATTATTACATCATTAATTTTTTAAAAGCAAAAAAAATATTTAATATAATATAATGATTCAAATTATTTAAAAAATGTAATTTTTTAAATTAAATTTCAGATAATTTGCATTCAATAAAATTTTATTTAAAATCTAAATAAATAAGTTTAATTTAAAAAAATTATATTTTTTTATTATTTTATGCATTTTTAATGAATTTTTTTTTTAAACTTGCAAATATTTTGATTTTCTATTTTTTTTTAAACAGAATTTCGAAACAATAGTGACTTTCTTAATGAAAAATATTAATCCTTTAATATTTTTAAAATTAAATATTTAAAAATTAATATTTTAGTTAGAATTTCTTTCCTTATTAAAATTAAAATTGCCTTTTTAGTTATTCTAAATAAATATATGTTTCTATAAATCTAAGGGTTTTATGCATCCTTTTTTTTATTTAATCATTTTAGATTATATTAAATAATTCTATTTATTATTTTAAAATTCTATGTATAGGTTTAAGCTGAAAATTATTAACTTACAATGAGTTCATTTGTTTTAATTTTGTATATTTAAATTTTTAAATCTAAATAAAATTAAAAGCATAATGCACAATAACAAAAATTTATAAAAATTTATCAATTTATAAAGAATACAGAAATTTCTATTTATTTTTCTACTTATGTATATTGTTTCTATTCTGATGTTTGCATTTTCTGTTTTTTTTAATTTTAAGTTTTTAATTATATTTTTTATTTAATAATATTTTTTATAAAAGTTAAATTAATATTTTTATCGGTATTATTATTAATGTTTAATATTAAAAATAGAATATTATATAAATAATGAATATATTTTTTTATTATTTAATTTTTTTTTTTTTTTTAAATATATTTCTTATTTAAATTTAATAACATATATTTATGCTTTTTTCAAAAATATTATTTAGTTTATTATTCTTTTTTTAAACAATATATTTTAATTTTTAATTATAAATTTGTTTTAGTAAGTGCTTAAATTAGAATAAAATCAAATTATTTTTTAATATAAAAGAATTTTTTTTTTTCTAATTAAAATAAATTATATAAAAAAGTATAATGTTTTTAATATAAAATAAAATATATGAAAAATAAATATATTTTTATAATAATTATATTTTTTTATTTTTAAATTAAAATAAAAAAATAATTAATAATATCTAAAATATTTTTATACTTTACGCTCTATTAAATTATAAATAACATTTATTTATTTATTTTTTAAAAAATAATCTTCAATCATCTCCATCATCTTCAATTTCAATTAAATCAATAAAATTTTATTTTTTTTTGTTAGAATTTTCTTAAGAATTTCCTTCTTATTTTTTTTTCTTTTTTTTTTGGGCGCCTTTTTCATTTAAACTTATTACAGTTTATTAAGAAGTAACCCCTTCCGATGTTTATATCTATTATTATTACATCATTTATAATTAAGGTTACAGCATTAACAATTAATTAATATCAAAAGACTAAGACAATTAAGAAAGTAACATAGGATCATATTATTAGAATGTATTTTTTAAATAGGCTGGATTAAAAAGGTTAATATTAGAAAGATTAGGCAAAAAAAACTAGTTTTATTAAAGTGCTTAGAAACTTAATTATTACATATTTAAAAGGTCAAATGTTTATTTAATTTAATCAGTTTATTATTAGTCTAAATTGTTTGATTATTATTGTTATTATTGTTATTATTGTTATTATTATTGTTATTATTATTGTTATTATTATTACTATTATTATTATTATTGTTATTATTATTATTGCTATTACTATATAATATTATTATTTTCATTTTTTTTTTGATCTTCTGATTATTCTTTTTTTCTGTATCGCATAAAACTGCAGTTTATTTTTTTTTGTTTTAGTACTTTTTAATTCTTTTTCTAAATCATTTATTACATTATTTGCATTATTTGTATTATTTGCATTATTTTAATTAATATTATTATTATTTTAATTAATATTATTAACATTTTAATTAATATTACTAGGGTCTTTTCTTTTTACTATTTTTTTTTTTTTTTTTAAACGATTTCTTCTTCTTCTTAAATCTTATTCTTTTTTTCCAAATTATCCATTATTTCTACCCTCTATTTATACATATCGGAAAGTATGAAATTCTTCAAATCACCTTCGAAACTTCTAAAATCATCAATGAAAACTTCTGCTAATTACATTCTTTATGAAATTTATTACCCTTTTGCGGAATAATATTCACTATCATCAATAAAGGGATCATTTTAATCATAATATAATTCGTCTCGAAAATTATTTGATTAATCTCCTTTTGCTATGGCTCCACTTTTTTTAGCTATTCTTGAAATATTGTCGACTTGTCCGTATCTTAAAATTCTTTTATATAGATCATCTGTTACAGAACTTATTTATGAATGGAATTATTATTATATTGGGTTCACATCTGTTTAGTTGAATTCGGCTAAATCTAACTTTATGTAATCAATATTATCGTATTTCTATAGAAAATCAGCAAGATAATTTAATGTTTTTATTTCATTTGAATTATATGTTATCCAATTAAAGTCTAATTTAGAATTTGCTATATATTTTTTAAATTTAATTGAATTTATTTTTAAAACAATTTTGTTTCGTTTTTTTACTTTGTTATAGTCGCTTTTATTAGTTTTCTTTTATTTATTATTCTAAAAGTAAAATTGGTAAGGGGTTAATTTACTTTTATAATTACTTTTTTTGCTTATTTTTTTAATCTTTGCTTTATTAATCTTGCTAGGCTTCTTCTTCTTCTAAGTTTATTATTTTATTTGTATTATCAGTCATTTTATTTTGTTAATTTTTTTAGGTTTTAATTATTTTTAAATAAAGAAATTAAAATATGTATTTTTGCGATTTATTATATTATATTATATTATATTATATTATATTATATTATATTATATTATATTATATTATATTATATTATATTATATTATATTATATTTTAATTTAATTATATTAAAATATGTAAATGAAAATATGAATTTATTTAAGATAATTAATATATATATTTAAAAAAAAAATTATAGTTCATTCTAATTTTTTATAGATTAAAAGGAAAATAGGAAAAAACTATAAAAATTATTATTATGATTATATATAAAAAAAACAATAAATTTAAATAAATATATTACAATATATTAATTTATAATATTAATAATTTGAAAAATTTATTAATTCGAAAATATTAATAAATATTTATAAAATAAATAAAAAATCATATTTTTCTTAATAATATTTAATGATAAATATAAAATTATTTAATTTTTTTATATATTATAAAATTAAATATATATATACATATATTTATATATTTTTTTTATATTTATTTATATATATATATATATTTTTAAATATCAATTTGTATAATTTTATTATATATTATTATAAATCTATTTTTTTTTAATATATATATCTATCTATTTATTTTTATTATTATTTTCATACGTTTTTATTTTTTTATTATTATTAATTTTATTCTGTTATTTCTTAAGGTAAATACTTTTATTCAATTTTTTTTATTTAAATATCATCATCATTTTAATTAAATATTTTCTTTAAAATACTTTTTATTATAAATTTATATTTATTTATAATATTTTTTTATTTAAAATATAATTATAATTAAATATTTTTAAAATTATTTACCTTATTCCTTTTTTAGCTTAAGATTCTTAAATAATTTTTTTATCAGAAAACAGTATTTCCTAAACTTATTTCAATCCTCCTAAAATTCTTTAATTTTCAAGTTTTGCTTATTAAGAAACTTCTCTTTTTATATTTTTTTTTAAAATATTTTTATAATATATGCATTAAAAATATCTACTTTTTTGTTTATTATAAAATTTAATTTTTTTGTTTAATAATCTAAATATTCTAATAGTTTTTTTTATTCTTTTCTAACATTTATTCAAGTTTTAACATTTTTATTCTTTAAATTCTTTAATGTTGCATTTTTTTATCTTAAATATCTAAATCATTTAATTCTTTTTAAATTAAAATTTATTATTCTCTTTTTTACTTTTTTTTATGTAATTTTTTCATTAATCTTCATTTTTAAAAAAAATAATTAATACTTTTTATTAATCTAAATTATATGCGGCTTTTTAAAGTCTTTCTTATAAATTACTCATGCTTTATTTGAATTATAATCTTACATTTTTAACATTTTCTTTTAATTATTTTTATTTTGAGATTTTTTATTTAGTTTTTTCTATATCCATTAAGCTTTATTTTAATTTATTATCTTTTTTTTTAAAAAAAAATAAAAATTTATTTCTTTTTTTAACAATACATTAAAATTTTTCTTCTTTTTATATTTATTTATGTATAAAAGTTGAAAGACTTCTAATTTCTTATTATTTAGAACTTTATATAAAAGATTCTAATTATTTTTATTCTTGTTTGAGTTTATCTTATGTTCTAGCTTGCTTTTATTAAATAAAATTTTTATGATTATTATTCGATTGTTCTTATTTATGCATTAATTAATAATATTAATGCTCACATTTTTTTTATATATTTAATTCACAATCCGATTTTGCCCTCGAAATTTTCTAAAACCTTTCTACTAATTTTTCTTTTTATTATATTTTTTATAAATTTAATTATTCGTTTAGTTTTTCTTAATTTTCTTTTCTTTTATTTATAAATTTTTTTTTTTTTTATTATTTTACACTAGTTTTAGTTTTTATAGCATTTCTTACCTTTATTTTAATTTTTTAACTTAAAATTATTTTTAACTTTAGTTTATTTATTCTAGGCTTTCAAATGCTCTTTCTTATTGTATTTTTTTTTCTTCCTATTTTGTTTTTGCACGTTTTTCTCTATTTTTTGCAATTTAAATTTCTCTTCTTAACATATCTTCAACCATTTATTATCTTTTTAATTCTTACATAAATATTTGTTTGCCTTCATTCTTTTATTTTGACATATAAAATAGTTGCATTTTTATATATTATTTTACTTGCATTTGTATTTTTAATTTATTATATTTATTAATTTATTTTTCCATTTCTAAATCGAAATAATCTACTTAGCTCTCCCCTTCATTTATTATAGAAAAGCCATCTGCTACACTAGCATTTTCGTGACTGTTTTTCAAATAATACATTGTTTTTTCCAAAATTTAACTCTTAAAATTTTTATGTGTATTATTTTATTAAGAAATATCTTGTCTTTATTAAATTATTATTTATTTTCTTTTTTTAAGAATATCTAAAGTATCATCTATTCACATAATATATATATATTTAGTTGTTATGTATATTGTTTAAATTTTACTTGTTAGTTTTTTAATATAATGTTCGTATCTTATTTATGATATAACTGGTGATAAACCTTATTGAGTAAAATCTTGTAAGTTTCTAGTTTTATTTTATTATATAAATAATATTTAAATTTTATTTTTGAAGTACTTCTTTTATAATTCTTCGATTTGAATCCCTAATAATTACATTGCCTATTATGTTCTAGGACTATCTAATTTCAATTAATTTTTTTATAAGGTTTATTCTTTATCTTTTATTAATAAATTATTGTTTTATTTAATGGAATATGATTTATTTGAATTTGTTTCCATTTTTTTTGTTATATATATATTTATTTTTTTATTAATAATAATTATTATTAGGGCTGTTTTTTATTAATTCTTTTTATTTTTATTATTTATTTATTTTTAATTATATCAGAAAAATATTCCATATTTATATTAATTTTTTTTATATATACATAATTTTTTTAATAAATTTTAAAAAAAAAATCCTAAAAAAATATACTTATATAAAAAACAATAATAAAATAAAGAAAATGGCCTATAACCGCGAATCAACATATTTAGATTTAAAAAACAAGTTCATAATTTCACCTACACTCCTTTAATTAGTAATGAATAAAATCCCCTAAATTCATTAAACGAGCAAGACCTTTAAATAAACGCAAATGAACTACACGAAGGTGTATCTTAAAACACATATTTATTTGTCTAAGAAAAAGATATACTGTAAGCTGACATAAAGAATATTTGCTTATATTTTTAGCACACAGAAATAAATAAAGTGCATTCTTTAAATGAAGAATAGATAAAGAAATTTCCTTTCACAAAAATATGCGAAAGATTGAATTATATAATATAAAAATATTAAGAATAACCTGTATTATTGGATTCAGTAATGGTTCCTATAATAATGCCTTTAATGGACTAAATAAATTTTTTTTTACATAAATACATGAAGGATTCTTTAGAAAATAAAGCGATAATATAAGAAAAAAATCAATAAAATTTCCATAGTATAGTCAGTGTAGTTTATATGCTTTGTAAAGTGAGAAATTATAAAAATGTTCAGAATTATTTTCCTCATGAAGTGAGAGATTTAGAGCCTGTTGTTTATTATTTAATTACTTAGAGAAATATTCAATAGGAAATTTGGGAAAGTAAATATGTACTTCTTTTATGGATGTCAATTATTATTTTAGTCCCTTTTGATTTAGTTACTATAGATTCTAAAAATATGCAAATGATCGAAGTTTAAATAGATAAATAATAATAAAATTAACAAAAATATTGCGAAAATATTCATTCTAATTTAATTGAAATTTCCAAATTTTACTTAAATTCTACTTCTAAATTAATAAATGCTTCTTCTTTATTTTTATCTTGTTTTTTTACTCGTCCAGATATTTAAAAAACCTCGATTCTACATGAATATATTACTTGGTGTATTTATATCATAAAACAACTCAAAAACGATCCTTTTTAAATAAATGTATGCACCGGCATATATTAATCTCTCGCAGAAATTCTCAAAGTTGGTCAAAGAAAGGAATTCCTTCAATATTTAACACTTCTTATGGAACTTATATAGTCCAGAGATCCTATTTCGGGCAAAAAAATTATAGAAAATCCCGCTTTGAAGCATTTAAAGTGTAAGTTAGCCCAAAGAATAGGCTTAATTTATTTAAGACCAAGGGCTGTGGCATGGGCTTATAGACGAGGAAATAATAAATTAGTTGAAAACATGAAAAAAACTGGTATAGAGAATAAAAAATTACAATCTAACGTTTAAATGCAATAATAATAATAATAAAAGTAAAAAAGCAGCCAAGAAAAAGCTATAGAATTAACTAATTCTCATTAATATTTCGAAGATGTTGACTAGGAAGCTTTAGAGAATATAATAGACTATATATTGGAAAATTTAAGAGATAAATACACCGTTGTAAGATGGTCTTGTGCAAAAGGAATAGGAAGAATCACATCTAGACTAGATTTGAATATGGCAGATGATGTTTTAAATAGTGTCCTGGAGCTTTTTTCACCTAACGAAAGCGAAGATGCTTGGCACGGTGGTTGTTTATGCTTAGGGGAATTATGCAGAAGAGGACTTTTATTACCAGAAAGACTTAGTGAGGTTTTTCCAGTGCTTTTTAAAGCATTGCACTTTAGTGTTAATCAAGGAAATTATAATGTCGGAAGTAATGTAAGGGATAGTGCGTGTTATATTACTTGGGCATTCGCCAGAGCGTATGATCCGGATGTTTTAGAAGGATATGTAGAGGAGTTGGCTAAAAATTTGCTTATTACATGTGTTTTTGATCGAGAAGTTAATTGCAGAAGGGCTGCTGCTGCAGCTTTTTAGGAACATGTGGGAAGATAAGGGAATTTCCCATATGGAATTTAAATTCTTACAGAAGCAGATTATTTTACGTTGGGTTTGAGAAGTAATGCTTATTTAAATATAGGAGTCTATGTGGGACATTATAAGGAATACATGAGGGGATTCGTAGAACATTTGGCCTTTAATAAATTGAAACACTAAGATATTGAAATTAGGAGATTGGCTGCGGCTTGCTTATGTTTAATGACTCCTTTGGATCCCGAATTTATGATAAATGATGTTTTGGCAGGATTATTAAATTATATAACTAGTGATTAATTGGAAGTGAGACATGGCGCAATTTATGGAATTGCAGAAATTTTAGTCGGGGCTTGTGGAAAAAGCGAATTGCATAATATGAAAGATGAAATGAAAGATAGTATTTTTTTAAGAACTCTTTCTTAAAATGAAAGAAAATTAATTAATGCAGGTGAGTATATGTAGGCTTTTAAAGAATAATATGAACGAATTAGGAAAAATAATTATGTTTAAGAATTTTTTTAAGGAGAAATGTTAGCAAAGGTATTAGAAGTGGTAAGTATAATTGAAAAAAATAGACTTTTTAGAGGAAAAGGAGGAGAATTTATGAGGGTGGCAGTTTGTAGACTTATTGAAGGGATTTCTATAGCTAAATTAGAAATTAAATAAAATCATGCTAAAAGATATCTAGTAACTAAAAAAAAAATATAATATAAGATATTTAAAAAAAAATAATTAAATACATATATATGAAAATAAAAATAATAAAAAAAAAAAAATTTAAATTATATATATATATATATATATATATATATATATATATATATATATATATATATTTTTATATATTAAAGGATACTTTAGATGAATGTCTTAAAAGTTTTTTGGAAAATATATAAATTTGTGCTTCAAAATCTTTAAAAATCTTTAGTGGTTAATATAGTTAAGTTTCTAAAAAAGAGCATTTATAATTAGTCTCAAAATTTATTTCTTAAGCTTCTACAGATTAAAATGTTGCAATAACAAGAGGCTATACTTTGGGTTTATGTGCTTTTAGTAAAGAATTTTTATTAGAAAATTTACCATAAATTATAAATGTTTTATGCGAAAACTGTAAATAAAAATCAAAAGATGAAGATGATGCTGATACTAGAAAATTCGCTGTTTAGGGTTTTTTCAAAATTTTGCAAATTATAAACTTATAAATTAACTAGGAACTTTTGATAGAATATTCGATACATGTATGCTTACTATGAATGATTATACGACTGACAAACGAGGAGATATAGGATCTATTGTAAGAGAAGCTTCTATGATTGTAATGGTAAATATAATAAAGCTTTGGGCATAAAAAAAAGATGGAAATTAATTAAATTTATCATCATAGTGTATATAAAAAATTATTTAATTACTTTTGTAGTAGTTAATGGAGAAAATAGATAGAGTAAGACTAGTTGCAGGGAGTGTTATGCAGGATATTTTCGACAACTTGTATGAGAAAATACCTTATTTTTAACATAAAGAGGTGTTATATGGAATTTTCAATAAGGAAAATATAAAAAATGCTGGTTTAGAAAGATGAAGATAGAATGGATTCGACTTTTGAGACGGAAGTTATAAAGCTGAATTAACTCACTTTTCTTAAGAATAAATTTAAAATTAAATGACTTTATTTATTACTGGAATTAACCTCATGGTGTTTATAATATTATTGTCCCTTTACTTTAATATCCTGAATATAGCCATTTTGTGGTATTATAAACTATATTATTATATTTTTTTATAAAAAAAAAGATGAAAGGTTTATGTGTTAGTGTAGGAGGTATAAGTGAAAGTGTAGTTAAATATTCTTTAGGAGCTTTGAATAGATTTATCAATGATTTTGGTAGAAAAGAGGGAATATTGGAACTCGTATTTGGAAACATTATTAAAATATTTGAAGAATATGAAAATATGGAAAGAGTAGTAACTCCTTTATTTAAAACTGTTGATTATATGTTTGAGATATAATTAGTTTAAGTATGGGCAAAATAATTTGGGTTTGGAAAATAGATTTTTAAGGTTATTTTAAAGGAAATTAAAGAAACTAAATCTATAACTAAAGTTTATTTTTTTATAAATATTTTTTATTTTAATTGTTTTTTTTTAAAGATTCCGGCAGCTATAGGACTTATTGTTGGTTTATTACATTTATAATGTGAGGATATATAAATAGAATTATTAGAATTTATATTATCTTTACTTGTTCATAAATTCCCAAAAGTTAGAAAGATAACTTCAGACAAATTATATTTACTTATTATGTCTAGTGGTGAAGAATATTTTGGGGAAGAAAAAAGTGATTAGATTACAGAATTACTTACGTCTAATGATTGGTTAGATGTAATATTCTTTATAATAATTTAATAAATTATTTATTTATTATAGGAAAAATAAAATTATAAAGAAGTAGAAAAAGAATTTAAACAAATATTTAAATTATTAAATATTTGATTTCTTTATTAATAACAGAAAATTATATAAAATATTTTAAATAAAAAATATTATATATATATATATATATATATATATATATATATATATTATCATATAATTATATTATATATTTTTAATAAAAAATATATAAAAAAAAATTTAATATATACATTTATTTTTAAATATTTTTATTAAGATTTTTTTAAATAAATTTTTAATATTTATATGAAAAAACAATTATTAATATTTTGAAATAAATACTTTTTTTTAAAAAAAAATTAAAATATTATGATTTTATTTTTTTGTTCAATATACTTTAAGTTTTGTTCTTCTCCAGTTTCTTCTTTTAGAATTGTATCTATAAATAATATTTTAAATATTTTAACTTAAATATATTAATTAATTACCTTATTTTATTATATGTTTTATATCTATACCAATTAGGAAGTGGTCTATTTTATTTTATTTTTTTAGATAATCTTTTTTTGAATATTAATGATTTATGAGCTCCCTTTTATTTAAATATCGATTAATATTGTGTTCAATTTTTTTTTTAATTTTTTTTACCATTATACCAAATATTTTATTTTTTCCAATTTTTTTTTAATTTTATTATTTTTTATACTTTCTTCTTAAAATAATTTTAGATTTTAAAATCAATAGAATATATCAAATTTAATAATATAATTAATTACTTATATATCATTTATATTATTTTAAAATATTGATATTTTTTATTATTAATAAATTAATATTGATATAGAATAACTTTATTTTTTAAATTTACTAAATTTTTAATTATAAGTTTTTTTTTTATAATAGTCCATCTTACCATACAAACTTTTATGTTAATTAAATTTTTTAACTATTTAAATATGGCGAAGAAAATCTAATTTTTAATAAAACAATATTTTTGAATGTATTTCTTTATAAATTGCTTTTATTAGGTATTATTTTTTAATAATTTCTATTAAATAATACTAATAAATGTAGAAACATATTATGATAATATTATATAATACTCTATTAATTCATTTTGTCTATATTATGTTGTCAATACATTAAAAATATAATAAGAATAATTTACATAAAAATATTAAAAAAAAAAGATTTTAAATCAATTGCGCTTACTGTATTTTTTGTGTATAATTTATATTATATAAAACAAATAATCTACTTATTTTAATAAATATTCAAAAGATTAAATAGTTTAAATTAAATTAAATTTATTTATTATTTAATTTGTTTTATCTAAATAAATATATTTTCTGATTAATAAATTATTATAAAAGGAAGAAAATACGAAAAATAAAAATTATTATATTAACTAATTTAATATAATTATAAAAAAAATATTTTAAAATTTATAATATTTAAATTAATTAGGTTATAAAATATAAAACATGTAATATATATAATTTTTATATATTATATATAATATTTAATTTTTTATATAATATATATATTTTTTTTCTAATAATTAAACATTATTTTATAAATAAAAATTAAAATTACTTATTTTTATTTAATTTATAATTTATAATTTAACATAAATATAAATGATTTAATATTTATTTTTTTTTCAAAAAAATAATTAATTTATAAATATATTTTATATTTATTTAGTAATAAAAAATTATATTTTAATAATAATTAAAAAAAAATAGCATTTAGAATTAAAAATGTTAAACATAAAATTAAAATTTTAAAACTAATATGCATTAATATTATTTTTAAATAATTTTCATTTACATTTAAAATAAAAAATTTAAAAAAAAAAATTTAAAAAGAAATTGAATAAAAAAATATTAACAAAGAATATCATTTTTATAATAAAATGGAAAATTACGAAATTTTATAACAAATAGGAAAAGGTAGTTTCGGAATAGTATAAAAAATAAAGCGTATTCAAGACAATAAATTACTCGTTTCTAAAGAAATAAATTACGGAAAAATGACCGAACAAGAAAAACAATAATTAGTATTAGAAGTAAATATAATAAGGGAATTAAAACATCCAAATATAGTTTGTTATTATGATAGGTAAATTTCTAAAAAAAAAAAAACGTAATAAATATTACTTTTTAATATAGTTTATTTTATTTTATATGTTATTAATTTTATTTTTAAATTTTTAAAAAAAAAAAAATGCATTTATCAATTTTTTATTGATTTTTATATCAATTATATTTAAAAAAATATACAGAAAAAATTTTTTAAAAATGTTAAAAATTAATATAATAGAATTATAGATAAAAAAGAAACAAAAATATATATAATAATGGAATATTGTGAAGGAGGAGATTTAAGTACTTTATTAAAAAAATGTAAAAAAAAAACGATTATATAAGTGAAGATGTTATATGGAAAATTTTTACTTAAATTCTTTTTGGATTGTCTGAATGTCATAATCGTTAAAAAAATAAAATTTTACATAGAGATTTAAAGCCTGCGAATATTTTTTTAGATTCTTAAAATAATATAAAACTTGGTGATTTTGGTTTAAGTAGAATTTTAAGCGAAAATTCAGAATTTGCAAAAACTCACGTCGGTACACCTTATTATATGTCTCCTGAGCAAATATAGGAATCTAAGTATAATGAAAAAAGCGATATTTGGAGTCTTGGCTGTCTTTTATATGAAATGGCTGCTTTAAAACCTCCTTTTTAGGCGAAAAACCATTTGTCTTTGGCTATAAAGATAAAAAATGGATAATTTGAGCGTTTACCAATAAAATATAGTGAAGATTTGCAATAATTAATACAAAATATGCTCAATATAAATTCTGAAATGAGGCCTTCTGTAAATTAGTTAATGAAATTGCATTAAGTCAGTTTGAGGTTAAAAGAAAAAGAGGTGAGATAATTCCATTCTGAAATAAAATAGAAGGAACAAGAAATTTTAAAGAAAAAAGAAAAAATAACAACATTAGAATTGTTGATATGTGAAAAAGAAAAAAAAATAAAACTTTATAAGAGTATTTGAAAAAATTAGAAAGATAAATTTCTTTTTTAAATTCTGAAGATTAATAAACTTTTTAAGATTATAATAATTTTTTATACGGAACAAGTGAAAACTCGAGTGAAGATAGTCTCAAAGGAAGAAATTTAATTGAAAACTATTTAAAAAAAAGTACTGTTTTATCAAAAATAAACTCTTCTAAAGTCTATATATCAACAGATACTTAAGTTGGTAGTAGTAATAGTAATAGTAATATTAAATAATATGATTCTATTAATAATAATTTGTCTTTTAATTCATATAGTAAGCAGAGGGTTAAAATTATTAATGTAGATGAAAATAAAAAAAACAATGAAGGTATAAAGAATTTTAGTAATAAAAGAAATAAATGCTTTAAAGAAAATGAAAGTAAAAATAATAATAATAATAGTTTTAAATAAAATGAAAATAAAAGTAATAAAATAAATTATATTAATAACTTTAATTTGTATACAAATAATATCAAAAATAAATGAGTGTAAGATTTATAACATTTAATTAATTAATTATATGTTTTTATTTGTAAAATTAGTTTATTTATTAATTAATTTATATTAATTATATAGTATTTAAAAATTAAAACAACTTTGCTATCATTTTTTTAATTTTAAAAATAATAATTTATTTAAAGTAATGATTTATATATGTATTTATGTATTTAAAAAAAAAGTATTTATTTATTAATATCTTGAAAATTTAACATATTATAAATATATTGTAATAATTTAATTAAAATTTTATAAATTAAAAAAATAGTAATTATGGATATATCTATATTTGCTTTACTATTCTTATAGTTTTTATTCTGTGGCTCTTGCATGTATTTATTAATGTGTATAGATCCGAATGCTTAAAATATTTTAGGAAAAGCTCACCGCTTTTTATATAAATTAATTCCCTCATTATATAAGTAACTACAAATAAAAATAATATAAATTTTTTATTAAAAATAAAGCCGAAATATAAATAATACATAAAAACCGAATCTATTATTTAGAATAGCAAACGGAATTATAAATTATATTTGTTTTACAAATCATCATATTATTTAAATATTTTATATTATAATTGCGATTGGAGGATTTATTCTATATTGGGTTGTTGGCTTAAATAGACATTTCCCAAATAGTCAAGTATCAAATTTACATAAATATATAGGAACAATCCTAGCATTAGTATGCTTTTATATTTATTATTTAGCATGTAAAACTTCTCCAGGTTAAATAACTAAATAAAATGATAAGGAATATATTAATAAATATTATTCTTATTATGATGATATTATGTTTAAAAAATAAAATAAATGTAGTACTTGTGAAATTATTAAGTAAAAATAAATAAAAAAAAAAAAAAAATAAAAAAAATAAAGACCTGCAAGATCTAAACATTGTAAAACTTGTTAAATTTGCGTTTCTAAATTTGACCATCATTGTGTTTGGTTTTTTTTTTCATATTAAAAAATATATATTTAATTAAAAAATAAAAAGGATTAGATAATGCGTTGGAGAAAAAAATTATAAATATTTTCTACTTTTTATATTTTCTCACTCTTTTCTCACTATTTATGGAGGAGTTGTTGGTATTTTGTGTATTTTAGGAATTGTTTAAGATTAAAAGTTAATGTATTTGAAATTTAGAATACCTTAGACAGATTAAATTGTAGATGCTGATTGGAAAATAGTTTTTAAAGTAAAAAAATAATATAAAAAAATTATTTTATATCTTTATATTTTAAAAAAAGTATTTATTTTATAAAGAAACAATGTTTATTTTTATGATTTTATTGTGTATTATTATGGGGATTACTTTAAGTATTTTTTTCATTTATCATTTAAGTATGATAAGAAATGATATAACTACAAATGAAAAAGTAAAAAAAAGTGATATGATGTCATTTTTAGAAAAAGAAATAAAATAAATATATTTATTAGAAAAGGAAAAATAAGAAAGTGAAGAAATTAAAATTAAATTAAGTATTTATTACAAAGATCTTGAAAAATTGAAGCATAAATAAAATAGTTATAATTTATGGAAAAATTTAAAAGATATTATAAGTTAATGATATTATTTATAAATAAATAAATTTATATTTTTATATATATATATTGAGTATTATTAAACTTAAACATAAAAGAAATTTTTATAAAATTTTATATAATAAATATAAATAAAATTATAAAATATATATAAATAAAAAATTATAAATTTAAATATAATAAAAAATTATAAATCATTTATACTTAAATTTATGTCTTATATATAAATTTTATATTTGTGTAAATTCATTTTAATATTATTTTATAATTAATAATTTACTATGTTAATATTTATTTAACAATATTTTATTTTAATTTTTTTAAATAAAATCTTTTATTATTAAAAAAAAGAAAATATAAAATGCATATTAATAGAATGCAAAATTATATATAATTATCTACATATGATAAAAAACAAAATAGTTAAGTATAAGTAAAGGCTTTATATTAATATAATCAATTACCAATATAATAAAATAAATAAAATGTATAATATTAAAATTATATATAATAATAATAATAATAATAATAATAATAATAATAATTATAATAATTGCATAAATAATAAGAATTACTATAATAATAACATTTATAATAATAACAATAGCATTATTAACAATTATAATAATAATAATAACAATAATATTAAATGATTAATTCTAATAGAGATTTTTAATAACAATCAAAATAATAATAATATGTAAAAAATGAAATTATACAATAGAAATAAATTTTAGAATCGTCCTTAAAATTTAATCAAGAAGAAGAGGAAAAATTAATAAAAATGGAATAAAAAGTAAGCATTTTAGCTACTTAAATTAACGATCTTTAAATTTCTTTAATAAATAAAAACAAAGAAATTCAATATTGGAAAAAAAAATCTGAAAATTAAAATGGAAACTCTAACGAAAATTAGTTTTTGTAAAATTTGGTTAAAGAAAAAGATGAATAAATATCTTAATATAGCTTTTTAAACTCATAATTAATGTAGAGAGTGTCAAATTGTTAATAAATATCTATTGAAGAGTAAATTATTAAGTCAGATAATGAAATTTTTAAAAGCCAAGTAAAATTTCTTAAGGCAGAAAATATATAGCTTTAAAATAGAGTTAATTAAGCTAAAACTTAATTTGAAATAGATACCTAAAATTACGAAGAATAAATTAAAGACTTAAAAGGAGTAATTTTTTAGATGAAAAAGTAAAATTATGAATTGTTGATAAAACTTTAATTATTAGAATCAAAAAACAAATAATTTAAAAGCCTATAATAATCGACTTTTTAAAATAATAATGACTTTGAATAAAATTTGAATAAATTTGATAGTTAAAATAAAAAAAATATATATTTTTAAGAAGTTTAAAATAATAAGAAAGAACAAGGTAATTAAAATAATAAAAGTAATTAAAGTGATTTTAATATTAATTAAAATAAAACTTTTGATAATTCAGCTAATAATTTATAAATTAATGAAAATAAAATGGATAATTAAATAAATGCAAATAATAATTAAGTATAAGATAATAGTTATTAAATTGATGAAAAAAACGATTAATTGAATGAAAATACTAATTAAGTAAATAAGAATTATTATTAAGTTAATTAAAGTTAGGAAAATAATTAAATAAATGAATATAATTATTAAAATAATTAAATTAATAATAATAAATAATTAAATGAAAGTAATTATTAATAGATTAATGATAATGTTAATTTTGATGTAAATAATTAAAAAAATGAATATAATAATTAAAATACTTAAGTTAATGAAAATAATTAAATGAATGTAAGTAATTAATAATAGTTTGAAGAAAATACTTAAGTAAATGAGAACAATAATTAATAAACTTAATAAGAAGATTATTAATTTAATTATGGGTATAATGATTATAATCATCAATAATAAAAAAAAAACATTAATAAATTACAATTACAAGAGGAATAAAATAATGAATTTAAAAATGATAACAATAAGGAAATTTTATAAAATAAAAACGAATAAAATAATATAGAATTTTAACTTGATAATAACTATACCGACAATAATTAATAATAATAAGAATAATTTTAAAATTAAAAATAAAATTAAGTATATCAATAAAATGAATAATAAAATTTTTATAATGAAACAAAAAATATATTTTAAGACAGATTGAATCTTTAGTTTAATTAGGAAGAATAATAATATGAATATTCTAATACTGAATAGATTTTTGATTGGTAAAATAAAAATAATACTTATAGTAATTATGATAATTATTAACAATTTGAATAATAATAATTTTAAGGAGAAAATAACGTATAAAATGACGATTATTTTATATTTGAAAATAATAATTTAAATGAAGTTAAAAAAGTAAAAGATGATGAAGTTTTAGCACCTAAAGAAATTATTTAAAATCAATTATATGTAATCTGTGATGATTTATTATGAATGAATATTAAATATATTTTATATTGATTTTTAGTATAAAAAAAAATTATATATATAAATATTATTTATAATTAAAAAAAATCATCAACTTATTTTATTTTACTTTTATTTATAATTAAAAAAACATTATAATTAGTACTACAAATAAGTCTTCTTTTTAATTTTATGTGTGGAAATTGCGAATTTGCCTTTTTTGAATTCAGAAAAATATTATATGTATTTGGAAAATATGGAGAAATTTAGAATAAGAAAATCGGTTGTAAGAATTACAATTCAATATAGACTATATATTTTGGAGTAGGGACTAAATAATTCCCTTAGTTGCAAAAATCTTTATTAATTACACCAAAATGAATGTCTTCTATATTTTCCAAAAGGCACTATTAATAATATAATTTAAAAGTTTTTCTTTTTTTTATTTTAGAAGAATAAAATAAAAAATATTAAAATCTTATAATCTTTACTATATTTTGCTTTTTTTTCTGTAGAATATCGTTTGAAAAATATTGGTTTTTTTCATCTTTATCTATACTTTGTTTGCAATTTTGTTTTTCTAGTTTTACTAGAATATCAACTTGTATATCGAATTTGTGCTTTGGTAAATATAGAGATAATAAATTGTAAGATATTAATTTATAATTAATTTAATTTTATTATATAATTGAAAAATCATATCATTTAACTTATTTATTCTATATAATTTTTTATACATTTTTTTTGTTTACTTTAATATTATAAAGATTAAATATCTAATTTTTAATTTTCATGATTTTTTAATTGTAATATATTTTTAATATTTATTTGATATAAATTAATTAATCTATTATTATTTTTATTTATTTATAAAAATTTTATTTGATTTTCATCTTTTATTTTTAATAAACTATATATTATTTTATATTTTTATAAAAAATAAAATTTAAAAATTATTTATAAAATAAAAATATTTAATTAATAATAAATTTAATATTTTAATATATCAATAATATAAAAAAAATATTAATATCAAATCATATATTTTTTTATAAAATTTATATATAAATAATAAATCTTATAATTTTTTTAATTTTTATCAATTTTTAGCATTTTCTTATGTTTATTATTAAATATTTGTTAAATTTGGATGATTAGGAGGCACACTAAACTTTGGTTTTAACAAAGGAATTATATTCATACATTAGCATTTTATACAAATATAATTTTGACTTTCTAAAAAATTAAAAATATATAAATAAAAAGGAGTTTATAAAAAATATAGTACTTCCTAAATCAACATCCTATTTAACTTTGCAATTTCCGCAATAAATAGTTTTTTTCGGTGGTGGCATCACTTATTTTAAAAAAATATTATAAAAAAAAAAATATTATTACATTCTTAAACTAAATTTTTGCAATAATAACAGTAATAATTCATTTAATTATGATCGATTTCCTAATAGGCGGTACAGAAAACACAGATAACTGGTCTTTTTCCATCAATTAAATTCTTTGTAGCGTCTGCGGCTTTAGATGCTATTTTGATTGTGTTATCAGCTAATTTGTCGAAAAATCCTTTCTTTTATTATACTGGTTACATTATTTAGAATTATTCAGCATCTCTTAATATATCAGAATATCCGCCTTCAAAAGGGCTTGGAAGTAAACATTTAACTTAATTTTGTTGCATTTTTTTTATTTATTTTTTTCAAAGATTTTTTTGTTGTCGTAAATATATTATATTTTTTTATAAATATAATTAATTTATGTTTATTTATATTTTTAATTTAAATTGGTATTTGAGAAATAAAATTACCATTTAATTTTAAAAATAATAATATTTTTTTATAAAAAAGAAAAATTAAAAATAGAAATAATAAAAATAATTATTATATTTACATAATAATATATATATTCCTTTAATAATTTTAAAAATTATAATTATAATTTTAGAATTAAATAATAATAATAATTTATATAAAAAAAAAATACAAATTATATAAATAGAATACTTATTTTATAATTAAATTTGAAAAAATTTATACATTTTCGTATTTAAATAAACTTTAACCTATTAAGACTATCTTTGTTATTCCATAATTATTGAAAAATTAATTTTTAAATTTAAAGAAAATTTAAAATATTTATTTTAATAATTTTACTTAAAAAAAGAGATTTTAATTCTATAAAAATATATTTTTATGGCTCAAATATTTGCTATTTTTATAAAAATAAAATATAAATAAAATCTCATTCAAATACAATTTTTGTTAAATTAATTTTTTTATATTATTAAATTAATAAATTTAATTTACTTTTTTACAAATTATATTATATTTAAAATAAATTTATTTTGTTAAATATCAGAAGAATATTAATATTTCTTTATAAATATTTTTTTTTTAAAATTATTACTATTGTTTTCAGATTAAATAATTCTATATATAATATTAGATATACTAAACACAGTTATTTTAATTAATATTTAAAAAACAAAATCTTTCTAAAAAATATTTAAATTATCATTTTCATCGAAAATTTATTTAAAAACATTCATAAAATAGCTAACTGAGTAAAAATCTTAACTTTATTCAAAGTTAAATTTAACATCAATTTTAGGTCCAAAAAAGTTCTTTTTTCCTTACTCATTTTAATAACAAAGCCTCCAAGAACTCTAAAACTACCCATAAGTATCTAACTCTAAAGGCAAAATAATAAAGACCTATTCCTCAACATCCAAAGAAGGAATTTTTACAAAAGAATTTATCTAAAAATCGCTAATACATTATAGTTACATGTTTTCAGGCCATTTATTGTCTCCATTATTTAAAATTTATATATAAAGAAGGATTTTTTTGTTTAAATTGATAGCAACATTTTTGTTAATTTTAGATTTGAAAATATTCTAATTTTGAAAATCTATTTTATTATAAATATTTATATTTTATTATTAAAAATAAAAATTAATATTTTATATATTTTCTTTTATTATATTATTTAATAAATAAAAACCTTTTTTTAAGAATCTTCTTATTTTTTTATTTTTTCTACCGTATAATCTTGCTCTGATTCTTCAAAAGGACTAAATATTGCGCTACAATCTAATTTTTATTTAATCTAAAGAATTTTCTAATAAATATACTAAAGAGTCATTTATCGATTCATTAGGGAAATTTTCTTTTTAAAATTTTTATTTTACCATATTACTATATATTGATTTTTCTTTACAATTATTTTTAACAAATACTTTCAAATATTTTATATTTTTGGATTATTTTATTATTTATAGGAAGTCTTGCTAAGTTTCTAGTTTTTTATATATTGATTTTTTTTCTTTATATTTAAAAACAAATTCGTTAATGTTTTTTATTCCAAAATGGGTTTTGAATATATTTTATAGTTCTTTGAAATTCGCTGGAGAGTTTTTAGTTATATAATAATTTTCATTTATTGAGAATTTTATTTTCATTTTACTTTATTAATTTTTTTGTTTTTTGTTTTCAAATGATTTTAAAAAAAATTGAAAATATTTTTTTATAATTTTATTTTATATTGAATTTTCTTTGTTCTCTTAGTTTATTAAAAAGTTTATTTTTATTAATTTGAGATGCAATTATTATTTCGCAACAACAAATATTCATATATTGTAAATTAATTTATTTTGTGCAATTAATTTTGTCCATTTTATTCTATTCTATTTATAATTCTATGTTTAAATATTTTTTTTTACTACAAAATAAATTATTATTTTGTAATATTAACTATTCTATTTCTTAATTTTAATAAAAATTACAAATACAAAAAATTGTGTTTTAATCAAAATTATTAAATATGCAATTATTTCTTATATTTGTATAATTTTTTTTTTAAAATATTACAAAACAAAACAAAATATATTATATGTTAACTAAAATAATTAAAAAATAAAATTATAAAGAGATTAAAATTAAAAAAATAATTTTTAATTTAATAAAAAAAATATAATAAAAAAAATAGTTAAATTTAGATTTCTTTTTTAATAAAATATAAAAAAAGAAAAATGCAAGTTGAAAAGTTAAACATCAGTGCTTAATCAAATGGTTCCTAATTCATGAGTAGTACCCACTAAAGAATAACAGCAAATATATTATGCTGCATATGTGGCATATCCTTTAACCCTTCCGAGACTAAAACAAGCATGTGCATCCAATGTGTGACTTCTCAACAAGATATAACAACTGGCATAACCAAATAAGGCATAATAAATTTTTGCAGAATGTGTCATAGATACAATAAGCCTCCCTGGGTATATTGCGAACGAGAATCGAAAGAAATGCTAGCCCTATGTTTGAAAAAAATTATCGGTATAAATAAATTAAAATTAATTGACTCTGCTTTTTTATATACTGAACCCCATTCTCGTAGAATAAGATTAAGATTAACTGTATAAAAGGAAGTTCTAAACAACACATCTATATAGTAGAATTTTATTGCTGAGTTTGTTGAGCATTACGGTCAATGTGATGATTGTAAAAAGGAGTTCACACCCCATACATGGGGCGCATGTGTATAATTAAGATAGAAAGTAGAACATAAGAAGACTTTTTATTTCCTAGAATAAATTATTTTAAAAAATAATGCTCATGATAAAATATTGAAAGTAGAAGAAAAAGATGATGGTCTAGATTTTTTTTACAAAAATAAAATGCAAGCTAATCGAATGGTAGACTTCTTAGCATCAGTAATTCCTTTAAAAATAACAGCTTCTAAATAACTAATTAGTCATGATGACCGTAATAATACTTTCGTGAATAAATATGTCTGGGCTTTAGAAATACCGAAGGTATGTAAGGACGATTTATGTATTTTTCCACCTAAATTATGTAAAGAATTGGGAGGTATTTCCCCTTTATGTATTTGTACCAAAGTTTCTAATATGCTCCATTTTGTAGATACTCATTAACATAAAAGAATAGATTTGAATGCTGAAAAGTATTTTCATTATGAAAATGATATTACGTGTATTTCTTTGAAAAATAATTAGACTTAATTTATGGTTATTAATTATGAAAAAATTGAAAGCAATGGTGAAAAAATGAATAATTCATATGTTTCTTCTATTTAGAATGTTTATTTAGATAAATTGGCTCATGTTACTGTTTAAAGGACTTCAGATTGGAAAGAATTTACTATTAGATCACATTTGGGAGAAATTTTGAAAGAAGGAAGCTTTGTTGCGGGCTATGATTTGACCACTATAAACTATTCTGAAGATCTTGATGTACTTAAAAATGCACCTGATGTTGTTTTGGTAAAGAAGACCTTTGATAAGCAAGCTACAAGGCGTGGACCGAGAATTTGGAAGTTAAAAAGAATGTAAATGGATGGAATTATGGTGGATGAGGAAGATGAAAATGAAAATACGAAAAAAAATAAAAAAAAAGTTAAAAATGATGATTTCGAAGAGTTTATGGATGATATTGAGAAAGATCCTAAATTAAGAGAGAACATTAATCTTTATAAAGATGAGGATAATATAAAAAAATTATCCGAAAAAGAATTAGCGAAAAAGGCTTAATTACCGAAAAAACCATAAAGAAAAATCGCAAAATTAATAAATATAAAACTTAAAAATCCCTAAGAAATATTAGAATTGTAAAAATAAGAAAACGAAGAAAATCTCAAAAAAGGTTAAGAAAGAAAAATTAATAAATAAAAAGAAGAAGAAGAGAAGAATAAATAATAATAAGACGAAGAAGAAGATGAAGATTATTATGATAACGAAGTTAAATTAATCGAATTATTAGATGGACTTAATTTTGAAGAAAAACCTTAAGAATAAGTATAAGAAGTTAATGATGATAATTTTATTGATGAGTTTATTAGAAAACTTGATAATGTTAAAGTCGAAAAATGAAACATATATAGAATTTTTTATAAATATATATTTTGTTATTTAGTTAATATTTTCAATATTGAAATTTTTTTATTATTATTAATTTTTTGAAATTAAAAAAATATAATATGTAGCTTTTTTTTAAATAAAAAATATTAGAATTTATTTTAATATGTTTTATATTAATTATATTAGTAATATTTTTTTTTATAAATAAGCTTATTTATGAATTTTATAAATGTTTTACTCTTTAATTATTTATTATATTTTTTTTTTTTGACTTTTAATTAATTTTAAAGTATCCACTTTTATTTTTTTGCATGTATTATTGGCTAATATTATTATCTTCATAAATATCTTTTTTACAATATTTTATATTAAATAAATATATTATTGTCAATATTTATATTATTTAAAGCTGTAATGAAAAAAATTCTAATTATTTTTATCTCTACATTACGAATTATATAGTTTAGTATTCCAAAACTACTTCTTTTCAGGAAAATAAGGTAGAACATTAATTTAATTTTTCTTAATGTATTTATGTTAATTTAGAATAATTCAATAAAAATGCCATTTTTAATTATCCCTTCCATCCAAGGCTTCAATTTCATAAAATATTACTCTATTTTATAATTTGTTTCTTAAAAAAATTAGTTTTATTGTTTATCATTTTTTTATACTTTTTTTTATATATTGATAAATTTATGTTTTTTTTATTTTATTTATCAACGAACTATTATTTTATTTGATTAAATTATATTTGAAATGTATATATGTATATTGATTTTAAAAAGGTTAAATATTTTTAATGAAGACAAATTTAGATATTAAAAATATAAAAATTAATTAATAATAATTATAAAAAATAATTTTTTTTAATAATATAAAAATATTTTAATTTTATTTTTTTAAATATTAATTACTGAATTTGTTATTTTTTAATAATATAAAATTGTTTATTATATAGAAATTTTTATAAAATTTAATAATTTTTTATTTAATATTTTATTTTTTAATTTTTTAATTTTTAAGAGCGAAAAAAATACTCACAATAATTTCAAATTGCATAAAATAAATATCATAGACTAATATTAATTATACAAAAAACAATAGGATGTTATTAAAAAATTAATAAAACTTTTCTTATATTTCTTCTAAATCTCCGGATAAAAGTAGAATCTTGAAAAATAAAATTAATTCATTCATAAGTAACGAAAATTCATAGATAATACAAAAAAATAGTAAGATTTCGAGTTTTTTAAAGTCCATAAAAAATAACATAAATAGTCCTTCAAAAAGCATAAGAATTCATTCAAGTATTTCCTTCAGGCAAAAATCTGCAGCAAATAATAACATAAATAATTTGAGTATAAATAATTTTTAAAATATTCCAAATTAATTAATGGAGCAAGAAAAAAAAGTGGAAAAATAAAAAAAAATGACAAAGTTAGAATATCAATAATTTAAATTAAGTAATTAATTATAATTAGAAGATTTAAAAAAATATTAAGATAAATAATTAGTTGTATAATAATAACAAATACTTCAAACACATAATGTAAACAAATAAACTATCTCTAATTAAAATACATCATTAACTTAAAATAATTAATAAAACACTTTAACTAATGGCGGAAAAGGTAATAAGATTTAAAAGAAAAAAGTATAGTTTGAATAAAATGTAGAATTTATTGAAAAGGAAGACATTAATATAGAAGATAAATCAATGTTTAATTATTAAAATATATTCAATTAAAGTACCTAAAGGCTTGAATAGGAATATTAGTAATTGGATAATTAAAATGATTTTTAAAAGTAAATTATTATTTAATTATTTTAAATATTGTTTTAAGATAAGAATATAAAGATATTTTATCTTTAGTTAAAATGGAAAAGTAAATAATTATAAATGATATAAAATATATTTAAGGAGCTAAATATAAATACAAATAAATGAAAGAAAAAATTGATGTAAAAAAATTAATTTTAATAATAAATATATATATATAAATTTATTTTTATATATAATAAAAACTAGAAAATTAATTAAGAAAATTAAAATTTATTTGAAACTAAGTAATTCAAATAAGTTATAAATAACCTAGAAAAGATAAATCCAAATTTTTTAAATTGTATTAATTGTATGTAAAAATAATCATTATTTTTTTATCCAATAAATAAAAAAAGTTATTTAAAATAATTAAAACAATAAATAGCTAAGCCAAGATGATATTATTTATACTTAAAAGTAATCTATATATTAAAATATCTGGCTTTATCTTTTATTATAAAAATATAAAAATAAAGATTACTAATAAATAAACTCTTAAATTATCAAATTTTGAAAAATTGAATTACTAATAAAAATATATTTAAAAATAATGCATGCATTTTTTAAAAAACATATAATTCAAGTTTTATTATTGTATATTTATTTAGAATTTTAATTAGCATTATTTTTTTATTGATTTAAATTTTTTAAATTTTATTATAACATTTTCAGCTAATTTTCATCAATATCACTTTTGAAATTTTAATATATATTATTACTATTATTTAAAGAATAATTTTCTTCAGAACCTACATTTGTGCTTAATTCATGCTAATCTAGAAGTTCGTTCATTTCATTTAGAAATTAGTTCAAATTATTTTCAGTGCTTTGATTTTTTTCTTTTAATTAATTATTTTCGTTTTCTAACTCTTTAAACTTTTATTTATAATTTTTTTAAATAAAATATATATATTTTAAAATATATTACTCTTTTTTCTAATAATTTTATAGATTCATATAGGTTTTTACCTTTTAATTTTTTTTGTTCTATATCTTTTTAAAATTATTGGATTTGCTTTTATCTTTATTTCATTAATTATTGATTTTCGTTATCTCTATTTTTTAAATTGTTGATATTATTATTTTATTCTTCTATTTACATTGATAATATTTATAATTCTTCATCTTTTTAATTTTAAATGTTAAAATATTCTTTATTTATTTTTTCTATATCTGAATTTAATTTATTATCTAAAATTCTGGATTAACTATGCTTTAGTATGTTTCTAAAAGCAAAACTCATATTTTTAAATAAAATATTGCTTAGATTACAGTTCATTTTATAAATTTTTCTTTTAAAATCAAATAATTGTACATTTTATTAAATTTATTAATTATCTTTAGATGCTTTGCTAATTGCTTTTATTTATTAAAATGCTTAAATTATCGATATGTTATTTCTATTTAAATTATTTTCATTAAAAATAATTTAATTTTAAATTTACTTTAATTTAATTATATTAAATAGTTTTGTGAAACTATTTTCTAGTTTTGTATAAACCAATTAATATTTTGTCATCATTCCTAAAGTTTCTAAATGAATTTATTATTATCTATTTTTTTTATTTATATGTATTACTCTATTATAATAAATACTTTTTCAAAATCTCTTAATTTTAATATTATTGATTTAATTCAATTATTTTTAATTATATCTGAAAAATAATAATTATTTTATATATCAAATTTATTAATATACTTATTGGCTTTCTTCATTTAATTGTTCAGGTTAATCTTTTATAAAATCAATTTTATCTCTTTTTTATATATGAATAAATTATTCATTTATTTATATTATAATTCATAATTAAAAAAAAAAAACTTTTGTGAGTTTTCTTCTATATTAAAAGAGTCATTATTATAGATAATAAAATTCTTTAATTTTTTATTATTTATATTAGTTTTTTAAAATATAATTAATTACCTTTCCGTCTGTCATAATAAAAATAAATGATAATACAATATTTTAAAATTAATAATTGTTATTAAAAAAAATATTTTAAATTAAAAAAAATATTTATTTATATAAATATTATTTATATAAAGCCTTTTTAATTTTTACTTTTAAATTAAAAAAAAAATGAATATTAAGGAACAAATTAATAATTAAGGATCTATATTTATTTAATATTATTATAATTATGTGATTTTTTTTTTAAAATAAAAATTATTCATTTTAAATTTATTTATTTTTAAAGATAATTTATTTTAAAAAAATAAATAAATTTGCAATAAAATCATATAAAAAATAATTTTAGAAATATTAGTAATTAATCAAAAAGAAAAATAAAAATATAATAAATATTTTAATAAATAAAAAATAAAAAAATGATTGATTTTAATCCTCGTGATAGAGTTAATAAAATGGTTGATGCAATTTAATCAGAAGCGGAAGAAAAAGCTGAAAATATATTAAAACTTGCAAATGAGCAATTTAAAATTCAAAAAAACAATTTAGTAAATAGTGAAAAGGATAAAATAATTGAGGAGTACAAGAGAAAACTTGAAAACTTTTCTGTTCAAAAACGCATGTAAAATTTTTTAAATATTTGATATTAAGTATATAAAATTAATTTAGAGAAAGATCATCTAAAGTGAATGAGCATAGACTTTCTAAAATGTAATTGCGTTTTAGCTTAATTGAAAAAATAAGAGACTCATTAAAAGAATAATTAATTAGAACTTTAGATGATTCTAATAAGTACAAATTGTTTTTCAAATCTTTAATAGTCTAAGTAAGAATTATTTTATTTTTAAAAAATATTCATTTTTTTTAAGTCAATGATTAAATTAATGGAACATAAGGTTGAACTTAAAGTAATGAAAAAAGACTTAAATTTAGCAAGATAAGTTAAGAATGAATGTGAATAAGAATTTAAAGAAGTTGTAAGAAAAGAATGTAATTTAGATTTCCCCTGTGTTATTATAATTAACGATTATCACCTTTTAGAAGCAGAAATACCTGATATGTAATTTTTTTCCTTTTTATTTATTTATTTTAATTCTTTTAAAGAATTGGTGGCATTGTTTTAACATGTGATGAAGGTAAAATTAAAGTAGTGAATACTATAGATACTAGAGTTTTACTAGCTTTCTAATAATTTTTACCTGATATTAGATAAGGATTATTTCCAAATATGCATTGAGAAATTTTATTATCATTTAATAAATTATATATAGATATTCAAAGAAATATATATGGTATAATTTATTTTTAATAAACTTTAAGAAAAAAATAATATTTATTATTAATTTTTTTTATTTATATTAGTATTTTATATTTATTCATATATAAATGATTAAATTAATTTACTAATAAATATTCTATTTATATTTATATTTTATTACTACACACATATAAAAAATTAAATTAGTTTATTTCTCTAAAAAAGGATATCCATGGAGTTTCTATCCTATTAATATATTTTATATTGATATAAACATATTCTAATAGTATATTTCATATCAAAAAGTATTATATCAGAAGAATATAAATATTTGCAACGCGATTATTAATATAAAATATTATTATTTGATATTAAAAGAAATATTATTTATTATTAAAAAAAAATATTATTTTTTATTAAAAAAAAGATTATATTTTATAAAAAAAATAATTAAAAAAAGAAATATCTTTGAATAAAGATTTTAAATTTTAATTATTTTTCTATATTAACTATTTATATATTTTTTTGTTTATAATTATTTTATTATTTATATAAAATATGTATAATTTATTTATTTACAAATAAATATTATTAATATTATTTTCCAAATATAAATGAAATAATTGTAATCTGTAATAATATATATATTTATTATTAAAAATTAACTATTATAATTTTTTTATGAAACAATTATAAAAAAAGTATGTCAATTAATATTAATGAAAAAAATACATTTTTAATTTTACCTTTGATTATCAAATTTGATATAAAATTAATAATTAATAATAATAAAAGTCCCGGTTTTATAAAATTTTATTGTATGTAGTTTTAATTAAATTTTTTATGTATATATTAATATTATTTTATTTAAAATAAAATTCATAAATTATTTACTTTATTTATAAATATATAAAATATTTTCGCTTTATATAATTAGATCAAAATTGATTTAGATTTTTCACTTTATTTTTTATTATTAGAAAAATATATATATTTCTTTCTAAAAACATAAAAAAATTAAATTAGCTTATGAATTTAAAAAAATGAATAAAGTAATATTATTTTTAGGTTTAATTTCATTAACTTTAGCCTAAATCATCATTGATATCTGTAAGACTAAATATTAACAGCAATTTATTAAATTATTTTTTCAAAAGAACTGGTAAAATTCATTAAATGAAAAATAATTATAATTAAACATGATTACTAAACCCAATTAAAATTAAAACTATACTGGATTTAATACTAAAATTAGTTTTTTTACTAAGCTAATAATCATCGTTAAATTTTATTGGATTTTAAGAAGAAATTAAAAATAAAAAAATATTTTTATATATTTTATAATTATTTATCTAAAAAAATAATAATTATTATAGGAAAATTATATGTATAATTTTAATTAATAAATAACATTTATATTATAATTGTATAAGCTTTCATATAAAATATAAAAACTTAAAATTAAAAATAAAAGATGATTTTAATATATAATAAATATAATTAAAATATTAATTTACATACATATATATATATATTTATAAAAATATATTTTTATTTTTATTATTTATATTAGTTGAATAATATAATCATATTTATTTAAAAAATATTTCTTTTTTATTTGAAACGATCATCCCAAAGCGTTTGACTAAAATTTTGAAGTAATAACTCATGCTGCTAAAGAAAACAGAAACTAATTTTAAAATCTAATAATAAATATAACCATATTATTAATAATAAACATAATATTAATAATAACAGTAATAATAATAATAATAATAGCTATATAAACAAGGTAACCCTATTATTAGCAACATTAATAAATACATAACATGATAATAAAATCCTAAAAAAATTATTAATATTACTTTTTTGATTTTAATGATCATCACATGTATCATGAATAAAATTTTGATGTTAGAACTCATATTCATAATGAATAAAGAAATGTGTTATTTTTAATAGAGTTTAATGCAATATTTTTACTATTAGACCTTAATCATTTTGTTTTCTGTTTTAATGATAATATAAGAAGTTTTAATAGTGATTTTGATATAAGGACGCATGTCCATTAAGAAAATAAAAACTAATGGATAATCAACCAAGTTTAAGAAAGTATTTTACTATTAATTCTGCATTTGATCCTGAGTAGTATATGTTCTGCGCTAATGAAAGAAGCAATATTTATGGATAAGATTTTTATATAAGAACTCGTACTCATTAGGAAAATATAAACTTACGGCTTATTGAAAGATTTTATGTATAGTTTATTATTTATATATACTTTATTATTACTTTTTAAAAAATTTTTGTGTATAATATTTTTAATTATTCTTAATAAGTTATATAAGCTTATAATTTTATTAAATGAATATATATATATATATATTTTTTTTTTTTTATTAAAATTAATATATTTATTTTATAATTTTTATCTTAAAAATTAAATCTAATGAGCGACTTATAAAATATGAATTAATAAATAAATATTTAATTTAAATTTTAAATTTTTAGGAAATAGAAAAATTAAGAAAACAAGAAAAAAAAAAATATTTAAAACAAAAATTTTTAAAAATATAAATTGATATGTAAAAATATTTAAATTTAAAATAAAAATAAATTCCCTATTTTTATATAAACATAAACTTATTAACACATGAAATATAATGACATAGCTTGAAAATTTAAATTTTTTTTTTTAATTAAATTTATAAAATTTAATAAAAAAAAAACAATTAAATTAAGAAAAAATTATAATTTTATATTTAATACATTATATAATTAATTAATTTTATTTTAAAAATAAACTATTGATAACAAATATTTAAATTATTTAAAATTATAAAACTATTAATATTAAAACAAAAATATATACTTTTTTAATAATTAATAATTTATGATAATAATTTTAAATATTTTCTATTATTTAATCTTCTTTTATAGTCATAATTTTAAATATTTAGATTTTAATATTATTAAATAGTTGATTTTGACGAAAACAAAATCATGGTTTTAATAACCTAAAATTATAAAATTACATTAAATTCTATAATTTTTATAATATGTAAACTTACAATATTTAATTAAATTATTTAATATTTATAATTATAAAAAATTTTAGGTTAAATAAAAAAATTATAAATTTAAATTACAATAAAAAATAATATTATTTTAATTGTTATAAAGTAACTTAAAATAAAATTTAAATTAGTAAGATAATTTATTCTTTAATAGATATATATAAATACAAAAATTTATAATATATTTTTAAAATAAATATAAAAACAATTATTTGAATTTAAATAAATATATTGAAGACAAAATGAATTAATAATTTAATAATGAAAAAATATTATTTTAATATTATAAAATATTAATTTTATTTTAATAAAATAAAAAAAATTATATAATTTTTTGATTTTCTAAATTTTATGTTTTTTAGGATTTAAAATTTATATTTTTAATTAAATAATTTAATTTATTATCTTAATTTCTGATATATATTATTTATAAAAATAATTTTATTTTAAATCTCAATTAACAAAAAAAAGCTAAAACCTTTATTTTAGATTGATTTTTTAAAAAAATTGCAAAATAATAAAAAAATATATAAACATATAAATAATTTTCCTTACTTTTTTTTACAAGAAGATATTCAAAAAAATTTTTATTAAATTTATAAATATATTAAATATTATTAATTTTTAATTTATAAAATATTTCATCTTGACTTAAATAATATATATTTTCTTCTATACTAATATTTAACTCTTAATATTTTAATTTTTAAAAGAAATTATTCAGAAACTTATTTTAATTATCATTAATAATTAAATTTAATAAATTATTTCAACTTAAGAACTTTAAATATCCAATATTCTTTAATTTTTTTAATAATTTTAATTCTTGATTTCTTCCTAAATTTAAATATGAAAATAATATCTTAATTATTAAAAATTAGAATTAAAATTTTATTTTTAAATCCAGATCCAATTTCAAAATTTATCCATTTCGGAAGTATTTTTATTTAATTAAGATAGTATTTTTATGTTTGTTTTTTCTTTAAAAAAGCCTAAAAAATTATTTATAATAAAAAATAAATTATTAAATTTTTTATAAAATAGCTTTATTACATTTTTCGTATTTTAAAATAACTTTAATTAAATAAGAAAAAAATTAAATAGTTTCACCATAAATATATTTGGTTAGCGATTTCTAAAATTGAATATTTTTCTATTATCTAAATGCTTTGCTTATTTATTATTTATTTTTTGTAAAGATAAAAAATAATTAAATATATGTATAAAATAATTAGTTTTTGTTAAAAATAAAAATAAATAGAAGAAAATATATACAAATGTATTTAATATTCATAAAAATATTTATATATGTATTATTTATAGGTTTTATTTGTTTGGATTGTTATTTATATGTTTATAAATATATTTGGATAGGTATTGGGTTTAGGATTGGGGTTGGGGTTGGGGTTGGGGTTGGGGTTGGGGTTGGGGGTGGGGT